AGACGTTCGACAACTACGAGTCCAACTGCTTCGAAGTCCTGCTCTACAGAAAGAACAGTGAGTGTCTCTTCATCCGTCTTCTGTCTTTTGTAAAACAGTACGGGGCGTTTCTATTGTCGTGCATATAGGACCTATAGGTACACACACACACACACACACACACACACACACACACACGTCTGTCATAGCTCGACTGGCAGCCTCACGTTTGTTCTCTGTGAACACACATGATGCGGCGACATGTTTATTTGCATACAGAGCGAGGGAGTGAGATCTGATCACGCGTGTGAACCGAGCCGAACACTTGTGATTGGTCCACAGGATCTTTTGTATTTTATCCCTCTGCGGCTTCGAGCGGCACCGTTTTTTCAGAAAAAAGATTAAAAACACACGAGCGTCGTCTCACTGTCGCTCTCGTCCAGAACAAATGTTTGATTAATGACTGTGTTTAGATATTTGTGAGATGTTCGGTAAGATTTGAAAAAGGAGCAGGCGTCTCCAGCGCTGAGACGGATACAGAGAAAGAAAATCTCAGTGTTGACGGACGGGTGAAGACATCGTGAGAAGTTGTGTGTAACTTTTGGAGCTGATGGATCAAAGGTCCTGCTAAAAAAAGATATTTTCACAATTAACAAACAGTTTAAATATTTTCTCTACTCTGTATTATTATTATTACATCATGAAGAAGTCAGAAAATGACATCATGCAAACCTCACGATGGAGCGTAAAGTAATATAAGGTCATATGGTAGAAAATGATGTCATCATGACGTCATACAGTGAAGTTATGGATAAAGCTTTGCAAACAATGACAACAATGACGTTACAGATCAGCCGATCATTAGTGATGTGGGAGAATGACGTCATGTGTTGAGACGAGCAGTTTGACCACAGTTAACTTCCCGCGCAGCGTTCGTAGGAAACTTTTAAAATGTTTAACAACTTAATCTAAATAAAAACATGGAGTCGGTACGGCTGCTTCTGTCCCCTGTGACGGAGCAGAATGGACAAATAGTCCCGGTTAAACGTCCAATGTCTCTGACGAGCGAAACGCAAGACGAGAAAAACGGCGAGAATCGAAAAGATCAATTTTAAAATGGCACAAATTTGCAGAGAAATCAGGAGGACGGGGCTCCGAACAGAGGACGGATATAAATGAGACGGATGATGAGTCTCCCGAAAGTGTCGGAGGAAGAACGGTGAGTTCCCCGTGATGACCTCATCATTAACTGGTTTCAGACGGTTCCTCACCAGGATGAATGGGAGGTTGAATAAAACCGTTCGGAGCTGATCAGCAAAGAGCTGTGACTGCTCCATTTCCACATCTCAAATATTGTGACCTCAAAAAACAAAACAAAATGAATCGAACTTAAAAAAATATCAGGACGCACGTGAGATACGACTTCAGATTCTGCCTCAGTCGACCGGGTTCTAAAGAGTTCTTATTCGTGACGTCTTTGCAGGAAGTCCAGTGTGGTTCTACATGCAAGTGGCTCCCATCAGGAACGAGAACGACAAGGTGGTTCTGTTCCTCTGCACCTTCAAGGACATCACCCTCTTCAAGCAGCCGATCGAAGACGAGACCACCAAAGGTGAGTGTGTTCCTCGGACGGGTGCGGCTTCCTGTCAGGGTTATTCTCAGAGATTTGTTTTTATTGTGGAGGAGACGTGCGGAGGAAGTGACGCCCTCCAGATCTTCACCTGCAGTGATTATTTTTACCTGTTTTTAATTGGGCGGTAAAGAGAAGCCGAGGCGATGCGGTGACAGAAGCCGTGAACATGATGAGTTCATGGCTCGATGCCTCAGTGTGGATGTGAGACAACAAATCCAGTTTCCTCCTCCTCCTCCTGCCTCTCTCTCTCTTCTTCACCTTCTCATCCTTCTTCTATGTTTCTTGTCACAGATTCTCCTCCTCCACGTTTGTCTTCTACTTGTTGTTTTTATTCTATTCCGTCCTCCTCTCTCTCCCTCTCACTTCTTCCAGCTTCATGTCCTCCCCTTTATTTTTCCTTTGTTTCCATTATTTTCTCCTTTCGTTTCTCTTCCTCCTTCTCCTTCACTCCTTCATCTCCTTCTGTCCTTTCTCTCGACACCTTTCCTGCAAATGTCTTTTTGCGGACAGATGAGAACGAGTCAGGTTCTGCGGGAACGTGTCGAGCTGTCGGGTTGTGTTTGAGGAGGTTGCCGGGGATCATGGGAAATGTGGGTGGCGGTGGCGGCGGCGGCGTCCTCTGCTCCCTGACTGATGCACAGTGTCAGCCTCCTGCCGCGGGAGTTGCTCTTGGCGTCGCTGAGTGGGCGTGTTTGCCCTTTGACAAGGATCTCCCCCACCCTACTGCCCCCCCCCACCCACAAACACACACACATGTAAACACGTGCACACACACATGTCGTGATGGATGCCCCCCCCCCACAGACCTGCCCACAGTTGTCGTGTTTATTCGTTCACCAGCGACACATGAAGAACAAAGGTTGAACTTCAGTCAGTGCTCGACAGGAAGTCATATTGTCACATCAGCGTGTCGACGTCTGAAGCTGCTGCAACGAGACAAACCTCAGATTTGTCTTCAGACTGTTTGAGTTTGAAAAGTGTTTAAATAATCGGTCAAATATCTAGAATGGATTTTAAAGAAAATTAAGGAAATGAGCTGCAATGAAAACTTCCACCGAACATGTTCGTCATTAAAGTCGCCCTAATGTTGCGTCATCCACTCCAAACCTCCGAAAACACGAACTCCTGCGTGGAGCCGATAACGACTCAGTTCATTTTCTTGCTCGGCTCCGATTCTTTGAGTTTGACAGTGACACAGTTCCTCCTCCTCTGAAAACAAAGGGATTCTGGGATGTTTGTGACAGATTCAGGAGCCGTCGTCTTGAAACTGTTCATTTCAGCTGTTTCTTTTTCCCGTGTGGCCTCTGAGTCACTCGCTGTGCTTCGGAAAACTGAAAGTTAACTGCACCATTAAGCAGACGTCTTCTCACTGTAGAGATATTCACATAGATCGGCCCGACTTCATTAAAACAGAATCACCCTGGCAACAAGGGTGCACTTTGTTATTGGGGGGGGGGTTTGACTGACGCTGTGCAGCCAGGCGAGGCCCCGTCAGTACACTACAGCGTGTTCCAGTACAGTACCCCCCCCGCGCTGAGTAGACGCCTCTGAGAGGCCATTTGTGAGGAGGGAGAGATTCGTCGCTGCGGGCCCCGGCGTGGCAGCTGAGTTCGCTCGCGCCGCCGACCTAAACCCGCTCTGGGCTCCGTCCCCGGCTGCTCCGACGGCTCAGCACGCCACAGCACGTCAGCGTCAGCCCAGTGAGAGAAGAGACGCTCGTCTGCTGATCCTCAAACACTCCTGTTTTTTACTTTACACCGAATCCTCCTCCTCTTCACGTGAGAGTGACGTGTGTCGTCAGGCGATCGCAGAGAATGATTCACACTTGTTCACATTCAACAGGAGGATTTTAAAGAGTATTTTAGATCCTCGGAAGGTTTAAAACTTGTGAGAGAGAAATGTGCAAAAGTCAAAACTTCTATTTAGAGCCAACTTTCCGACTTGAGGTGGACTTCATGTAAATTATTCGTCAGGATGAAATCGACCGTCCGACACCACGAGAACTCACAGTGAATCACTTGCTGCGTCTGTGACCACGAGCTGCAGCTGAACCGGAGTCAGAGCAGAGAAGTGAAGAGTAGATGTCCGGTCGGGACGAGTGAGGCAGGAACACGGGGCCTCGGGCCGTCAGCCCGACACCTCTGAACCCTTTGAAATCTACGGTACACCTGTAGTTTGTAGTTTGTCTTTGATATAAGGCTTTAAACTAAAAGTATTCGAATTCAGTGACTGTTTCCTGTGAACATGAAGATTGTCAACGTGCGGTCGAGCTCACAAAGAACACCGAGAATATCAGCTCACAAATAATCAGCGTCCACAGAAATCCAGTGGTGGTTGAAGGATGTGACGGTTCCAGTCGTCAATAATGAAACGTGTGAACTGAAGACAGTAAATCATCCCTTTGTTAATGAAGCTCTGGAGTTAATTCAACCAAACATCTGCGTCCATGTGATAACAACACACACACACACACACACAATCAAGTTGTCCTACGTTTGTCCGTCTGTTGACTCCAGGACAAACCCACGTCTTCTTCAGTTCGTCCTCGGAGTCGAACTGCAGATGAAAATCTCCGTCCAGACTTCACTGTGCTGGTACCAGTTCTTCTCCTCCTGTTATTTTTAGCTCAGCCATTTTATTTATTTATTTTTTTTTTTTAACTTCCTTTGTGCTCCAGTCTGATAAACACGCAGCGATGCATTCTTGAGGGGAGCGGCAGCAGGAGCATTGTTATTAACCGTGGAGGGAGGGGCCTCTCATCGACTCGTCCTGCAGCCTCTGCTCCAGCTCCTTCTGCTCCTCGTGTGTCAGCTTGTGCGGCGCCGCTCTGTAAACTGTCAGCACGTATTCACACGAGTGCCACAGAGACAAATTCCTCCATTTTCCCTCATGATGAAAGTGGTTTTATTATTATTCCTGAACACAGTGGGGCATTGTACTCCTGTATAATGCATGCGTGCTGTAGAGTGAATTATGCAACCAGTGTATGGCCGGTATAGAAGAAGCACTCAAACCTTTGCTTAAGTAAAAGGAATAATCCCACACATAAGAAGTAAAAGCCCCCGGAGGGGCCACGACCTCCTCGCTCCTCGTGGACCGTAAATAAAGACGGACGACACAAGCTCCAGATTCGCCATCTTGTATTTTTGAAGTCATTTGGAGTCCTTGCAGTGAATTGATGAGTCATTGTCAGTCGTCAATCGCGACTTTTCGCACTGTCATCAAATTGCTCATGTTTGAATGGGCTCTGATTGGCTGCGATGGAAATGCGACGCACGGATGAACGCGCTCGCGCGGCGAGATGAGCGAGCGCCTCAGTTTTGGTGGCGTCGCACGTGATGCACCAGAGGAAAAGAAAGTAAAGGAGTTTACTCACGTTTAAAAAAAACAAAAACTACCCACGACATGAAGTGACCATGGTAACTACAGGCGTTCAGTAAAGTCAGTGGTATCAGTTCTCGCCGCCGTGTTTATCTTTCGAAGTGCGTCAGTGCTGGAGCGAGTTAACTGACAGTGGATCTCTGGGGCCCTCGTGACTCTGGGCTGTTTGCGATACAAACTCCACTGTGAGTTGCAGAAGCTCGAGCGCAGCACTTTTCCTCCGGGAAGGAAGTGGAGAAAAAAAAAAACCAAACCCCCCCTCCAGCTTGTTATGTGTGGCTGCACACTGTCAGTGTTACACATAGAAAATCACACGAAAGACTCCGAAGATCAAGACGCACAATAAGTTACCCAGCAGCCACTGCAGCGGTGTCCTCGAGGAGAGCGCTCGGAGGAAACCCCCGAACAGACGTGTGTGTTCTGGAGATAATCATCCAGTGTGGGTCTCGGAGCCGTGGTGCAAGAGTCAGGAGTTGAATTTGCCTCCATTTGAACGGAGAATGAAAGGGCCCGGGCAGGCGGGGGGAGGGACGGGGGGGGGGTTCCAGGCGGCCCGAGGGTTAAAAGCTCTTTCAAAGTCCACGTTTTATTCATAATGGTCCCTTCAAAGAGGTCGGGTCGATCACGATGTGTGACGGCCGTGTGCTGTGCCTCTCTCTGCCCTTTCAAACATTTGATTTTATTTTTAGAGCAGAGCAGTCGGAGCGCCCGGCCCGCGGACCACGTTCAGTCCCATTCAGCAGCGGCAGCAGCAGCGTGCTCAGACCACGACGCTGGACAGCAGCGTTTTTATTTACTGTGATTTACTCACTGAAACACAGGAACGCTCGGGTTTCATCCTCGGAATTAAAGGTTTTAATATGACGAGGGTTCGGAACCAACAGCAGGAAAGAATTACAGCACGGCCACTTCTCATGGAGCGTTTTAATAAAAATGAAAATAATAACGATTTATACTTTATGTTGAAAAGTGCTACACAAAAAGAAAGTCAGGTTAAATACCTTTAAATAAGTAAGTACTTAAATAATAATGGTAACAGTAATAACGGAGATGAAGAACAAGGCAGCACAAGAAGATAAACTAAATTCATAACTCTTTCAAAACAAAGGTTTAACAGTTTAACAGAGTTTATTCATCGATGGCAATGAGAAGGAAAATATGAGCCTCAGTCATTTAAAGTTGATTTCATTAGTCAAAAAACTTCTTGATCGCCCCCTGCTGGCTGGCTGCAGTCTGGGTCATAAAAACCAGCGAAGACTCCAAATTACGTCACATGGTTCAAGATGGCGGCGTTCGTATCCGGCAGACATTTTGGCTTCAGCGGCAGGAAGTGGAGACGAGGCGTCCGTCTTTATCTGGCTGAGCTGCGTCACGTGATTTCAGTCTGTGAATAATAATTCATTAACGTTCGATCGTGATGTTTGTTATTAAATATTCATCTTTTCAGAATCGTCTCAGCTCTTTGCTCGTCCTCATGTGAAGCTGAAACAGAAAACTCCCAGAGACCGACTCACTGGAACTGTGTGAATCATTAGTATGCAAGTGGTGAAGAGTGTAAACACACTGAGACATGGTCAGAAAAAGTACAATTCCCACTAAACTCTGGTTTTCCTCACATTTATTAAAATACGCTGAGTTCTCAGGGATTTCTGTGCTGTTGCTCTCCCGAAGGAGCATTCGTCCTTCGGCCTCCTCGTAGAGGTCGCAGCTCGCCGGACGTCTGCAGAGCACGAACCCTGCGGCTGGTGGATTTATTCATTCGCGTTCGAGGATGCTTGGCGCTTAGCGTCTCCGGGCTCCTGCTGCGTTCACGTTATGTCCGACGCACTGTAAATATGAACCGCTTTATGTGACCTGGTCCCTGATTCAGGTCTGATCTTTGCAGGATGGACCAAGTTTGCGCGGCTGACGCGGGCGCTCACCAACAACCGCAACACGCTGCAGCAGCTGGCGCCCATCAGCAAACACGAGGTCAGCCACAAACAGTCCAGACTGGCAGAGGTGAGCAGAAGTACACACACACACACACACACACACACACACACACACACACACACACACACTCACTCTTTTTATTGCCACACTAAGTGAAGACAACAACTCCCATGATCCCTTGCTGCTTCTCGGCGTCATGAAAATAGCTCCTGCTGTTGAGGTTTCGTTTAAAAAGGCCTTTCATTACCCTAACCCTAGATAATACAGCAACTCTCTGCTCCACACCCCCGCCTCGACACACACTCGCTCCCCAGGATCTGCAGCTGTTTCGACACAGCGAGCGATCCTCTCTCCCCTCCGTGGACTGCAGGTGCCATTAAAATTGCATGCTGGGTAGAGAGACAGGGCGCTGTGGGCACTCTGAATGATTGTGACCGATGCTCGAAATCTAGAAAATGGATTTGTGGGGTGGGGAGACGGAGACTCGTGTCTTGTCCTGCAGGAGCCTCCGCCTCACACCTGTTTTATTCATGAAGGTTTAAAGTGCGACGTTTCATCTCGGACCAGAATCAGTTTGAGTTCGGACGCAGGAATCGAGGGAGGAGTCTGCGTATCAGCCAAAGTGTCACAGCGAGGTTTAAAGGTGCGGAGGAGGGAGCGGCCTCAGTGGTGTGGACGATTCACAAGCATGCGGCAAATAGTGTCGCACACAGTTACAGGATGTAGCGAGGAGGCAAAACACCGAGAGACAGATCACGCATGTTATTTATAATGAGCGTGAACAGGTCATCTCAGAGTGACGTGTTTTAATTTGGACGATGTTGCATTGTGTGTTTTTAACCTTTGAGATTCTGTGGAACTGCTGGTCACCTTAATGAGAAGCGAGTGACGTTAACGCTGTGTCCCATCTCCAGGTTCTGCAGCTCAACTCCGACATCCTTCCTCAGTACAAGCAGGAGGCCCCGAAGACGCCGCCGCACATAATCCTTCACTACTGCACCTTCAAGACCACCTGGGACTGGGTCATCCTCATCCTCACCTTCTACACGGCCATCATGGTGCCCTACAACGTCTCCTTCAAGACCAAGCAGAACAACATCGTGTGGCTGGTGCTGGACAGCGTGGTGGACGTCATCTTCTTGGTGGACATCGTCCTCAACTTCCACACCACCTTCGTGGGGCCCGGCGGAGAAGTCATCTCTGATCCCAAGCTCATCCGCATGAACTACCTGAAGACGTGGTTCGTCATCGACCTGCTGTCCTGTCTGCCCTACGACATCATCAACGCCTTCGAGAACGTAGATGAGGTATGTTTGTATTCGGGACGGTGCTCGAGCTCTGTGAGCTCGATTTACAGACTTTGTGTTGTTGATGTAATTCCTGTATCATCACAAAATCCTGTTTCCTCATTTTCTCATCAAATATTTGAAGTTTTACATAAAGAACTGCGTCGATGTCACTCACGAGGAGAAACAGCTTAAACTATGACGTCTGACTGTCTGCGTGGATGGTAAAAACTTTATGGACGATAGCTCGAGCCTGCAGGAAGGAGACACAGAGGGGGGGGGTCAGTGTCTGTGAACCAAACTCTGGTCGTATGTGCCGGACAAATTCTGGCGATGACGCTTCATGCGCGTGTCATGGGTTTTGTCGTCAGTACATTTAACCAGAAAACCAAAATGTTCCCACACATCGACAAACCATCGACTGGGTTAAACATGTGAAGGTCACGTGAACGCACCGCTACTGACATGCATCTCTGGATGTGGGAGCAACAGAGAAAGTAAAACACACATATTTAAACTTTGCAGTTAATCCAAGGTACCTCGAGCGTCGATCCATTTGATGCAGGCGTTCATTGTAACGAGCAGTGATTGAGCTCGTGGATTGATAATTGATAGGCCACAGCTTTGTAGACGATCGATCGTAGTTTCTGAACGTGGAGAGAAAATGATTCATTTCCAGTCGGCTTCTTCTGTAATATTTGAAAGTCATGTCCCTGATGTCTCCGAGCTTGTGTACACGTGTACAAGTATCTGCTAACAGAGGATAATGAGCGTGATCCCGGTTCTTCAGGCCAAACAACAGAAGCTGATATTGATGGTTTCTGATGCGGGAGATGGAAAAATGATTCTTCAGCTGTTTGGCCTCAGAATGGATTTTTGACTCTGGCACAGTAACCAGGTGTTTTCTTTTTTTTCTTTTTTGTGTAAATCCTAATTAACTCTGGTGTCTAAATGGTCTGAGGAGCAAAATACTGCATCTGGATAATTCTGCCCTTTTAGATTTCTGGGTGATTTTCTGTAATGAGATCAAGTCGGTTCAGAGTCATTTTCACGGCTATTTTCACCCGTCAGATACCGAGGAGTTATATCAATATGGCCTCGAGTCCATTAGAGGTGATTTTCCACTTGGTTTCCTGCTGAATTAATTAGACCTCATCCACTGAGTGTGTGTGTGTGTGTGTGTGGGGCGGGGGGGGGACAACAAGTGATAATGTTGGACTGGAACATTTCTCAGTTTTTCATGTTCGACTGTTTAATCTGCTCACGAGTGGGCGTGTTTTTTTTAATTTTGTTTGTGGAAATCACACCTCACACGCACGTGAACCCACACAAACATTGTGTGTGTGTGTGTGTGTGTGTGTGTGTGTGTGTGTGCACGTACACTGTGTTTGTGTCTTTGAGTTGTAATAATAGTAAAACCACTTTTTTTTTTAAAACTGCCAGCAGCGGAGTGTTCAACATCTTCTCACTCTTCATGCCAGAAAAACCGATCCCACACCTCCCTCAGTTTATTCTTGTCTGGAACAACATCACCACCGACACAAAGACTCGGAGACACAAACTGCTGAGGTTTGAAAAAGGAGTTTGTAGATTTAAACACTTGAAGGTTTCATTTAGCAACGACCAATGAAATGTCTGCCGGTACGTCATGGAGTGATTTCTTTCCACATTTGATTCTTGTTCTTTATACTTTTGTGTTTCATTGCCTCTGCCACAGACGCCATGTTTCCACTGCAGAAACTACAGAACTACTCTGGTGGAGCGGTGTGGTAATGGTTCTGGGGGTGGGGGGGGGGGAGAGAACCTTCCATCCTCTCCTCTCCATCCTTTATACACCTTCAGCACAGATTAAGAACAGTAGTGAAACTGTTTCACAGCGTTTTAAGTTCTTTCAAATCAACCACCAGCCCGTCACGATATTTCCCATGGCTCCCGTGTGAAGTTAAATCACATCCTGGAAAAATGTCCGACAGGCTGCGAAGGACCTCGAGGTGTGAGGACCCTCCTGGGACGGACTGACAGAAAAGGTTGTTGAGTGGACAAACTAAGCTGCTAAGAAAATGTAATGTCTCTTATTCATTAGATTTCCACTCAACGAGAAAGAACTCCAGGATCAGGACGAAGGAGCAGATGTGGGATTTATTTTTAAACTTTCTTTATCGTTGTGAGATCCCAGATCTGAATATCTGTGTTTGCAGTTTGGTGCAGATCGATTGAATATTTTGAGCCATTCTAGTTTTTAATTTAGCTGAAATGTCTTTATTTAATAAAAGACAATTGTTGACCCCACATGTCTCAGTGAGACATCCAGTGTTGAACCTGCAGCACTTTGTCTTTGTGCGTTCTCCCTCCTGCTGGTGTCCGTCCGTCTTCTCCCTCAGGCTGAAAGCTGCGTTGTGTTCTGTATCACTCGTTCAATACGGCGTCTCAGTTCAGGCGTCTCTCGTCCTCAGGCCTCTCGCCGCCGGTCAGCGATGGATTGGAGGAGATCAGCCGAGTGGAGTTTTCTGTTGCTGTCTTTTAAACGGCAGCGAGCCGGGGACACGGGCTGAGAGGAAATCAATGGCACGTAAAATTTCCAGTCACTAAAGTGGAGTCTCTCTTCGCCTCTTTGCTAAATTGACGTTTTTGTTGCCGCTTCTCCAGAATTAGCAGGTTGGAAAAAAAGAATGGATGCTGACGGAGGACAGAGTGTCAGAGGCGGGAAAGAAAATAGCGGAGGTTATTATGGGCTGTTTACAGACTGTTGCTGCGTCTGATGGCTGAAGTAGCAAAGTTTTTGATAAATAACTTATTATTATCGTATTAATTGCGTTAATTGATCAAATCGATCAAAACAGGCGGTGATTTATTATTATGGAGGAGGAGTCTCGTGGGAAAAGAGGGAGTTTCTAATCATTTAAAAACAAAAACAACAAAAGTTATTTTCCATGAAACTGAAATGAAAAGTTAAAAAGACTTTTTCAGTAAACTGGATCGAATTTCTGTTCAAGCTTCACAATTCTCTTCACCGTGATCGACGTTGATGTGTTTTTATTTTCCAAGTGAATGGAAACGTGTTCACACTGAGACGATATCAGTCTCGTCATAGTTACTAGACAAAATGCTCTGCTCCCGCTTTCACATTAGTTTTTCCCTCATTCTGACGCTCTCCAGCAAACAAGCTCTGATTAAAGCAGCACCGAGGAATCGAACCCCCGGTGTGCAGCGGACCCACAGTATGAACGTTCTGTTCATTAGAGGAATTAAATGAGTTCCATCCTGAAATTAAAGCCACAACAAAGAGCAGAGCGTTGAATTCTAACCCGGCTGCACATTATTTCATGAGTCTCAGTTCTTCATGCTGATGATGTCGTCGCTCCCTCAGATCTCAGATCAGTTTAGTTGGTTCAGTAAATCGAGAACAAGTCGCATAAGAACAGTTTTTTCTTTTAAAGATGATGGATTTTTCTCTGTTTCTGCTCCTGGTGACATTTTGAAGATGGTTCTCATGTTTTCAAGCAGAGCAACACCTACTCAGAGATACAGGTCAGCAGTAAACTCAACACAAGTGAAGCAAGAGCACCGAGTGATGTAACGCTCTCATGAGGAGTCGTGCTGACGCTCCCTCGGGCTGCAGCAGAGGTGGTGTTAGGAGTTAGAGTGTGTGGGTGTGTGGGTGGAGGAGGTGTGTGTCGAGGAACCTCCCGCGGATCCTGAAGCCCCCTGCTGTCACGGAGGAGCCCCGCAGGCCGATGGGAGTTCACAGCGGGCGTCTGCAGGCGCCGCGGCAGCTCAAGAAGGTCTAATCCGGGATGACCTTTTCTGTGTGGCGTGCGTGTCGCCACCGCCAAGCTGACAGAGCCGGGAGGAAGCTGTGGGGCGTGCAGTCAGGGGTGGGATATTCAGACTCTGCATGTTCACACTGGGAGACGGAGGGATGGAGGCGTCACGGCGTCAGAGAAGGAAGGAAGATGAAGAGATAGAAGAACCAGAAACACAGCGATGAATGGATGAAGAGTTAATATTGAAGCACGTCTTAAAGCGCTCAGTTATGCTCATGTCTCCCCCTACAGGTGGGATGACTCACTGTGTATATATCACTCCTGTCCGATGTCTTACCTGGTCACTCTAGTCCTCTTTTCCTCTTCTTCCTCGTTTCCTTTCGGCAGCGTCCTCTGTCCTCGGAAGGAGAGAAACCAGCGAAAACCGAAACTCATCCGCCGCCAAGAGTTTAAATTTCATATCTTTCATGAATCAAATCAGGAAATCTATTAAACCAGCTTGTCGTCCTAAGGTACATCTAAAATATACATTATTCACTTTGACGTTCGTCCTCAAACGCTGCAGGATTAAAAACTGTGATAAAAGCATCTTCTGAGTTGCTGCTGCTCAGGGAAGGTTTCGCTTCAGGCTCCTGCTCGGTGACAATTGAAAACTCAATCGAAGCGTGGTGCACTTGTGCTAAAAGCCGACGCATTTTAAATATTTAATGCTCGACGGATCGAGCGCAGGAAAATGCGTTAAGCTCCCAATGCTGTCAGGAACACGCGATGCTGCGTCCTCTGCTTTGAAAATAATGAGAGACGGAGCCAACGCTGAGAAAAGAGCTTCCCGTCGGACATGTGATTTCCGTCTCGGCGGCGTCTCCCTGCGTCAGCCTCTGTTTTGATACTCAGCTGCTTGTGAGTCCTGATTTTACATGCGAGCCTTTGACTCGAGCTCTTTTCATCTGCTGTGCGGTTCTGTCGCTATTTAATTTGGAGCCATTTACATATGAGCTGGGAAGCGTCCGAGTCTCAGGGGAGGCCTTTGAAGCTCGACTGGAGAGAGGCAGGGAGACCTGGCATCAGAGAGAGAGAGGGAGGAAGCTGCAGCGGAGGCCAAGGTTCAGTCAAGACATTCGTCCAGTTCAGGTCAAAACGAAATATTAATTCATACAAACTATATTTATTAAAAAACTTAAATAAAAAGAAAGAAAGAAAGTGAAGAAAGGAATTCTTTAGAGAGGACCTGAGGTTGAATGAACGCAGCTGATTTGCAGCAGGTTGAAGTTAAGTCGAGGCTCTTCTTCCTCCTCCTCTTCCTCCTCTTCCTCAGTCTTCTCCTGCCTCTTTACATAACATCATTCGTTCCCCTGCTGACTTTCATCTCCTCTGATCTCTCTATGCTCCCAAAACAAGACAATTATCCTATCATTCTTTTTTAATGTTGGTCTTCTGTGATATTTACTTTCGGGCTGCACAGTTTTGGCCCCCGTGGATCGTGCAGAGCGCGTCGACGCCCCGGGGCCCCTGCTGCTTCTGCTGTTAAACACACATTATTTTATAATGAATAGAATAAAGGAATGACTGTGTTTGGGAAGATGGTGATGGAGAGCAGGCCGTAAAGAGCCGGTCCCTTCGGAGGACGTGGGCCGGTTAACGAGGCAGTGAAATAGAACTCAGGGACGATGGGCGGCGGCTTGCAGAGATTCAAAAATATATTTGTTCTTTGAGGATGTGAATTAAAACCCACCTTACGTTTTAACTCCTGTCCATTTGTTGGTTGTTGGGTTCATTCATGAGCAAGAGAATAAAGTCGTGATTTTACAAGAACAGCAGGAGAAGAACTTCAGAAGTTATAGTTTAGGATCGATGACATTTTTCTTCTTTATTCTCGTAATCGTTCAGCTTTGTTCTTGAAGCACTGCAGCCTTTTTCCCCCATAATGTTATAAATTTGTAATATCATAACCTTTCTAGTAATATTTCCACTTTATTCTCATCGTGTTACGACTTTACTACAGTAAAGTTACAACTTTATTATTGTAATATTTCAACTTTATTCTCACATTTATTCTTTAAGGTTCTTCAGCGGAGATATAATAATCCGTCTTGGTAAAAACAGAGGAATGTTTTCACTCACCAGTTTTTCCTCTCTTCTTTCTTGTCTTCCTTTTCACCAAACCTCTCTCCATCCTCCTCCCTGTCACCCCCTCTGCTCCCCTCCCCTCCCTTCCTCTCGCCTCATCGTTCCCCCGCCGCCCACCAGGGCATCAGCAGTCTGTTCAGCTCTCTGAAGGTGGTCCGCCTGCTGCGTCTGGGCCGGGTGGCCAGGAAGCTGGACCACTACCTGGAGTACGGTGCAGCCGTGCTGGTGCTGCTGGTCTGTGTGTTTGGACTGGTGGCCCACTGGCTCGCCTGCATCTGGTAAACTCCTTATTTTAATGGTATTCAGAGAAGTTCTCTCATTTCCTCACAGTTCAGTGGCATTCAGGGCCTCCTGCTGGCCGCTGGGAGTTTACACGCTTTCCTAAATGTTCCTAATTGGTTACGTATGCTAAACACTGCTAACCCCCCCCCCCCCCCATGTACATTGCAAAGCATCTGCTGCTCCTCTGCAAAATAGAAGCTTTGTCTAGTTTCCTTCAAGTCAAACAACATCCAGTGATTTGCAAATGTAGCCTCTAGAAAAGAGGAGAAACTTTCTTTCTACACTTTCTGCACACAAATCCCTGAACTCACTCCCTAATTACAAACACTCCGTGTCGTTAAACTCAACAGAAATATTCTCCTCATACATTACTCGCTCCTTTAACGCTCCGTCTCTCTCCACACCGCCAAGAGATTACGGAAGGATTGATGCATTTCAAGTGTGAAGCAGATGAAGGTTTCTCAGGATGTGTGAGCCACATGCAAACACACAGATTTCTGGAAATCGATAATACAAAAGATTAAATAAAGGAACGATTCAATAATGCAACAGATGAAAATTATGGAATCACTTCAGTAGATGTGAGGCTCTTCAGCACCGAAGCTTCATTCTCAACACGCTGACGCTGTCGCTCTCCTCAGGTACAGCATCGGAGACTACGAGGTCATCGACGAGGCCACCAACACCATCAAAATGGACAGCTGGCTCTACCAGCTGGCCCTCAGCATCGGATCGCCCTACCGCTACAACGCCAGTGGCTCGGGCCAGTGGGAGGGCGGCCCGGGAAAGGACTCGCTGTACATCACCTCTCTGTATTTCACCATGACCAGCCTGACCACCATCGGCTTCGGGAACATCGCCCCCTCGACGGACGGCGAGAAGATCTTCTCGGTGGCCATGATGATGGTGGGATGTGAGTATGAGATGACACGAGCGGCCGCTGGCGTTGCTTTGTTTTTCTGGAAAACACTTTGTTTATGTTGTTGTTGAAGATCTACTCACGGAGCTGCTGAGGTTTTTATTTTTTTGTTCATTGACGACTGAAGCGGAGTGATGTGTGTTGCTGTGTCAGTACTCAAGTCTCGTTCACACAGTTTTCAGACGCCTCCTGGAGACTTGGTCTTTTTAGATCGCTGGTGTTGTAGAGTCAGTTCGTTCTGTCTGTCACTGATGTTAAAATACTATCGTTCATGATTCTCTCAGACTTTACATTGATTAATGGTTAAAATGGCTGAATTCATGCTGATGTCAGAGTCATTACCTCACAGCTCAGCTCTGATCTGTGATGTGATGGAGCTCTGCAGGTTTTCAGATCAGAACAGACTGAAGTGATCACAATGTGCAGAACATTTCCACACAGGGCTCTAAATGCTTCACGGTACTCAGACGGGGATCGAACTACCGACCCTGCGGTTAGTGGATGAGCCGCTCCACCTCCTCAGCCACATCAGCCGTTTGTCCTAATCTCATCAGGGCCTGTAGGACAAACTGTGCGTGTGATGCTTTGCTTGTTATTTTCCTAATTATTTTTCTGAGCCATTAATCAGGACTGATCCCGCTCATCATCATCATCTATTATTGACGACTCGTGAATCTATTAGTTCTCCCTGATCTCCAGCTGTTTCCCCAACAGTAAACTTTGCGTCTGTTTCCAAACTGAACTCTATTAATAGAACTGTGGAGTTGAAGTCCTGAGAAATGTTAACAGTTTCTGCGGAGACAGTTCTTCTTGTGTGAGCAGTGTCGGAGGCTGCACGCAGCAGGAAACCCCGCGCTGATGATGAAAGCAGCAGATAAGTGAGCGGGATAATAGAAAGCAGCATGTGACACACATGATTAATGGCAAACTGCACTCCCCGCGGTTAATCTGAGGAATCATCGCCGCAAATTGAGGGAGCGATGAGTTATTAATGGTTTACCAGCGAGTGGGGAAATACGTCGTGTGGGTTAGAGAGTATGGATTTTATTTTATTGTGCGAAAAGAAAATACTGAAATATTTTTGGTTTCGTCCAAACACAACTTTTTTCTTCCATTTACCTTTTATTAATTATTTTACACTTCGTTAACTCGTCCCTGGTTTACTCATGTGTCCTCCAGCCACGTGTGAAGTCAGACACGACGTTACTGGTTTTATAAATTCATATGTTTATTGGATTCATCAGTTCAAAGATTCTGTAAAATATTTAAAGTGCACGGTAACATCCACAAACGAATTTCAGTTCGAACCCTTTTTCTTCATCAAAATTGTGACATTTATCACAGAAGCTTTTCTCCTCGGCGTTCCTCACTCGTCCGGCCTGATGGAGCTTGTGTAACAAAGTCTACGTCCTGAAGGGAAAATACTTTGAGTGCATCAATTATTAAAGCATGTGCACAGTCTGCAAAACTGAGAGCACGGATCCTTACATTGAAAACTTTCTTTTCTACCACCCAGTCCCCTGGAGGCTTTGACTGGTGACTGACAAACACAGCACATCTCTTTATTTATTGGTATTAACGTTAAACCTGAATATACATCACACAAAAATAACCTTATCGCATAACTAACATGTGCAGTGGAGCAAACACAGTGAAAAGTTTGTGAGATTCTCTCAGACACTTTGAAATATTTCTGCTGTCGTGAGATTTATTTAGTTGAATCTGACGTCGTCTGCCCACACGTGTGGAGCAAGATTCTAAATTTGATCCATTAATTCCACATTAAAAGCTGATTGGAATTTGTTATGGTGATTTCACACAAACATGGAAATTAAGAAAATAGAGTTTGAAACACACAAGAGTGAAATCTGAGCCCTGAGAACCAAAAGAATAATAAATCCTGCAGCCAATGTTCAAATAAATAAAACGAATATTAACATGAGTGAAACCTCGATGTATGAAATGCGTAGATAAAGAAACACACATAATCAGATAAACATACAGTGCATGATAAAACATGTATGTTGTGATGTTTTACCTCAACCTGTTACACGTCTTGCATCTTGTTCGGCTCGACGTCAGATTGTTTGTTTATTTTGAAGCCTCGAGCCGTCGGCCTGTAAACTGCTCTACATTATTGAACGCTCTGTGTTTGCTTCATGAGCAACACTCGCTTTATCTCGTCACGCCAATAAGATGTGAACATGTGATGAGCGGCCTGTTTGGATTTGTTGTTTTATCTGCTCAGTAAACCAGGACTGAATTCACAGAGAGATCAGGGACTGCGGAGCGTCTCTGTCTCTAATGGTCACCGTCAGCTGTGTGTTTTAGAGGACGAACCATCAGAGGCTCATGGGTAATGAATTCTGTTTCATGTAGTCGACAAACACTTTGTGGAAAACATTTACACAAACACTCATAGATATTATGTGACATCGTTCAGAGTTATAGTTCTGTGTTCACACATGTTCCATAAACGACTCTCACTCAGCACTGCCTCCTGTCTGCAATGCATTCTGGTCCTCGGTGTCGCTGACTCGACCTTTCCCTGACCTCAACTTTAAAATACTCAAACCTTTATTTATTCGTCTTTCTGAACCGTGACGGGTCGAGGAAGTTCCAGAGTTTCCCAGAGTTTGTAAAGTGCCTTGAGATAATGTGCATCGTGATGTGAGTCTCTGCAGATCTGTAGCTGCCATGTGCTGATATGATAGAGAGCTGCAGGTTTCATCAGAGTCAATATGTTTGGGCTCGTAGCTCTTCAGCAGAGGCCAGAACGTCAAGTAACAGGACATTAGTATTGATTCCTCTCCGTCTGTTCACTAAAGCTGTTTTCACACATGACCTGCGGAGGAACTCTGGAGAATTAGGTCCGGACTTTCTCCGCAGATTGTGTTTTCTACGTGTGTAGCTCCACTTTCCCGTCCTGAGATATTTGTTTTATTTGAGTTTTTTCTCATTTTCTTACCTTTTGATTGGTTGTGTGCTGAAATATCATCTGGAAATAAGCGTTCAAAGTGTCGTCCTGAAATCTTCCAAATGTTTCTATAACCAAGTCCAACAAATGCTTAAATAATAGATTAAATCATGTGTCTCAGTATTTCCTCCTTTGTGCTGGCACACACCAGCTCATTTTTAAACATGCACTCTGGTCGATAACTTTCTCTGACAAGCTATTTCAGTGGGATATAGTTTGGCCAGTTTTCTAAAGGAAAGAGAAACTTACTGGAGTCCAGAAACGGAAGGCGAGCTGCCAGTGGTTATTTTTAAGAAGGTGTTCGTATCTTACCTTAAAGCGTTTGGCAGGAAACCACAACGTTCCTCCCTCACTCCTCCAAATCCATTTTCAAGTTATATCTGCAGATGATCTGTGGGTTTGACTTCGACCATTTTAAAAATGGCAGAATCTCAGCGTTTTTATGTTTTTGTCTCGGTCCGATCTGTTCCTGCCCTGGAGTTGAATATCGGGGCCAAACCAGGGGCCTCCCCCCCGGGCTGTCCTCCATATTGTTTGTTCCTGGAATCTGGACAACGCAGCCTCAGCTGGGCAGTAAACAATACACAGACATGATATGCTGCTGGCTGTCTGTCGTGTCTGGCTGTGACTGATAGTCTTGCTGGTTACGGCCGGGCATCACGCTGCGTGGGCAGTTTCCTGATCTCGGCGAGCGAGAGCTGATAGTGAGACGCAGACAGGGGCTCCATTCATTTTGCTTCCCAGATTGTTCCGCGAGAACGACGCTGCGTTGAGACATAGATCAGTTTGAGAACATCGCAGGGCTGCAGCAGAGAGGAAACAGAGCCCGGTACCACAAGTCATCTCTGTCGCTATGGTTACCCCTGGCGTCTGCACTCCTCGGTCCACTTTAAAGAGCTGAAACTGAGACGCTCGGGAAACGCTGATGACTTTTCTTAAAAAGCAACATTTTGGCGGTCAAAGCGTGTTTCCAGGTGAAAATGACTCCATGAGCTGAAAACGTTGTGTGAAGCTTTTTGTTTTTCCAGAGGGAGTTCAGTGAAGTCTGATAAGTGACTTGAAGTCTTTGAATGAAGTGTTGGTTTGGTCTGAAGGTTACTTAACAAGTTAACAGACCTCTACTAGCAAAACAAGGTCACTGATCATGTCCTTCTACCAGAGGACAAACAGCAGCCAGATGGATTTTTAATGAAGTATTTACTATCAATAACAAATCAGCCTGAGACGACGGCTACAAGAAGAATAAACGACGGCTAAATAATCGTTATCGATGGAAGTCGTGGTTTGTTTTCAAGATGAAACTTGAACCTTCGGTGAGGAAGAGTCGAGGCTGTTGTTCGCTCCGTCATTCCGCAGAACGGATCTGTCAAACTCAGCAGTTTACGGTGATTGATCGATCCGGCGGACAACACAACTGCTTTTCAGTAATTACTCAAAGCAGCAGGAAACGCAACCGAGTAACAAACACCGAGATGAAGCTGAAAGATATAAACATGAGTGAACGGTGGGAAGTGAAGACGACGCCGGGGTCAGACGTCGGACATCGGGTCTCCTGTCCGTTTGAACTCTTCTACAACCCAACGCCCTTTGATTCAAAGTTAATCCCACTTGACAAATGCTCTCTGCTGGCGACAGGAGGCCGAGCAGGACGCAGATGTCTTGTCTTGAGGGAAAATGGCAAACGGCTCAGACCTGGAGAGTCCTGATTGGCCCCGTGGTTGATTGTAGTCAAGCGCTGACGTGCCAGGTTCGGAGGCGACGGATCTGACAGCGGTAAATGGAGCTGGATGGAGTTAATCAAGCGATGTGTCTGATCCGTGGAAACAAATCAGACCAGATACAGCTCGTAATCGTGTCGCGTTTGTCTTGAGAGTTCTGCTCACACACGAGCTTCTGCATCCGATTATCATCATTTCTTATTTACATCCAGTCAGTTATTTTCCAGTTTTAGGTGAAATACACGCTCCACATCTGGACGCTTGGTAATGTACACAGACCTGAGTATCATTTCCACAGA